CAGAGGGACTGATGCAAAAACTATGCATCTCTTCACTGGTCCTTATCTACTCCAAGGGGAATATTGCTAACCAGTCTGGATACACAGTTCCCAGACATCACTTGCTTATTCCAAATTTAACACCATCATGAAGATTATTACTGGCACAGGGAAGTAAATGACATATCTAATGCTGCTGTTTTTAAGCCACATGTAAGAAGTATGTGAGCAAATGCACAGTGATATGAGAATGTTAATATTTACATTTCCTGACTCTCTTTAGAGCCTATACATTGAAAAATGTTTATTAATACACATTTATGCAATATCCACTAGGATATTGGTCTGTCTTTCAGAAATGAGTAAAAGAGGATATAAAGCTAACCATAGCAGGAGGATAAAAATTGCAGAACTTGGGCAGGAAGAGGGAAGCTTATTGACCAATACCTTTTACTTCTAAACATGTTATTTTCAGACTTGCTGAGTTAAAGCTTAAAATAATAAGCTGCATGTGCAGAATAAAAAAATTAAATTAAATTAATGGAGATTGCCTATCTCCTGGAACTGGAAGGGACCTTGAAAGGTCATTGAGTCCACTCCCCTGCCTTCACAGCAGGACCAAGTACCATCCCTGACAAATTTTTGCCCCAAATCCCTAAATGGCCTCCACAAAAATTGAACTCACAAGCCTGGGTTTAGCTGGCCAATGCTCAAACCACTGAGCTATCCCTCCCCCTTATAATAATACATAAAAAGGGTACTCACCCTCATTTCATAAATATTATCTGAATAATCCACAGTCTGGCAGATATAGCTGTAACCTCGAGCGCTAGATGCAAAAAATAGCTGAAAATATTAAAATGATATATGAGAGTAAGTTCATAAAGAGAGAATTTTATTAATGATTTTAGTGTTATAAGTTTATTCTAAAAGCAATATTTTAAACCATTTTTATTTACAATACAAAGACACTATTTAACAAATCATCACTCAAGATAATCTCCTCTGAAGAAGCGGATTTTGCCCATGAAAGTTCATGATACTGTCATGCTATATTTTTGTTAGTCTCTAAGGTGCCATAGGACTACTCATTTTTTTAAAAGTTGTATTTAACAAATTGGTCAGTATTTAGTTTTAACAAAATACTTTTTCATATCACTGGGTGTCAAGACAAATGGTCCCATTAATTAAACATAAAATACTCAGGAAAAAGATGAATAAACCAAAGAGTCTGCAAGGTATGTAGAGAATACTATAAATGCATATGACTTTCTCTGTGACCTAAATCTTGGATACTGCCATGAGAGGAAACTAGTTTCTGAGATACAGAACACCTTAATGAAACCAACAAGAAGAGTAACTCCAGGATGGGATATATGGAGAAAAAAATATCTCTCTCAGATAGCTAGGACCTAGATCATTTAGGGCAACAATATAGTAATCAATATGTACAACTGTACTCAGAGGCAAATACAAAGCCAATAAAGAGCACCAGTGTAATGTGTTCATACACATGCCTCTTTGAGGCTAACTTTATCAGCAGAAGCTTCCAAGTGCTCTAGAAATAAAGCACTTTGCAGTATTTTAGCCTTCAGGTTTCAATCACTGTGATAAGTTCTCATCAGAAGGGAGGGGGCCACAGCTTCTCAGTCAACTTTTAAAGGTATGCCAGGTCTCCAGATCCAAAGACAGCAATGAATCAGGTCCAACTTCTAGGCCAGTGGTCTCCAATTTTTTTACACCCAATATCACTTTTTAAATGACAGAACAAGCCAAGATCTACCGCCCTGCTTATTCTTTGAAGCCCTGCCCCTTCCTTGAAGCCCCACCCTCTCTATTCTCCTCCTCTCCATCACTTGCTATCCCCAACCCTTATACTGCTGCTTTTTTTTTCAATTCTTATGTAGGAAGAGGTTTTTCCAACATTTGGCCTGTCTAGACTGGACCAAATGTCAGAAAAAAACCCTTCTTTTGGAAGCCCCCTTATTCCTTGTGGAAAGAGGAATATAGGGGTGACCGAAAGAGCATGTTTGCTCTTCCACTAAAAAAAGCGAAAGAACAAATGCATCCCTGGATGCAGAAGAGTTTTTCTGGGATATCTCTGGAATCCTGAAAAACTTTTGCAGTCTAGCCTTACCCTTGCTGGGTTGAAGCAGGATGTGTAGGCTCTGGGGTGGGAATGAGGGATTTGGGGGTGGGAAGGGGTAAGAGATGCAAACTCCGGGAAGAAATCTGGATGCAGGAGGAGGTAGAGAAGGGGATGTTGGGTCGGGGAGGGGGCTACAGTTGGGCCAGTGTTGGGGTCAGATTTAGAGTTAGGGTACTAAGCAAGCCACAGGCTTGTAGATATGAGGGTGCAGGAATTTGGGATGGGGTATGTGAGGAGCTCAGGGCAGGGGTTCCAGTATAAGACAGGGTCAGATCTAGGGTCTGGGGGAGCGTTCCAGGAGTGTTATGATGCTGCAGCCAGATGGGGGCTTGGCCCCAATTGGGGGTTTGTTGGCCATGCTTCATTTTTTAAAAAAATACTATGACAAACACAAAAAGTTTCTGAATTGTCTTTATTTATGAGAGGGGCGGGGAACCTGTTTTGAGTGCGGGGTCACTGACCGAGGGGGGATGGGAATGGGAACAGAGTTCTGTAGCTGGGAACAGGGGAGTGGGGACAGCGTTCTGTGGCTGGGGATAGGGGAGAGAGAACAGGGTGCCGGGAGAGCAGGGGACAGGGTTCTGTGGCAGGGGGCAGGGTGCCAGTGGGGGCAGAGAGTCCCCTGCACCAGCCTCCTCCCAGGATTTCGCCCCCCCCCCAGAGGAGGGAAGCCCTGTCGCATGCCTCCTCTGGGCCCAACTCCCTCCTCCCGCAAAGCAGGGAAGGCTGCGCACGCGCCCCCTCGGGGCTGACTTCCCCTTCCGCGGATGAAGGAAGCCCCATCGCGCACCTCCGCCGGGGCCGGCAGGAGCCTTCCGTGGAGCAGGGAAGCCCCCATCATGTGCCCCTTCCAGGCCCTACTCCCCCCTCCCACAGAGAAGGGAAGTCCCAGCGTGCGCGTCTGGGGACTCACCCGGTAAGTTCCCAGCATGCCACAGACTTGGGGCAAGGAAGCAACCAGCGCATTTCTGGATCCCTGGAAGTCACGCGCAGCTGTAGGACTCCCATCCACCCGGCAGAGGTAGTGCCACTACCTCTATTGTCACTCGAGGTAGGTAGTGGGGCTTCTTGGGGGTGGAGGGAAATCGGGGGCCAGAACGCCTCGCAATCAACTGGTCAAGGCCTCGCAATCAACCAGTCGATCGCGATCGACTGGTTGGTGACCACAGTTCTAGGCCATCAGCCATAATGGCGAAGACCAGATATACAGAGACCGCCAGAGGAGAATGAAGCCCCTATTCCAGCCTCTACAGAGCAGTCATTTCTGTGTTATTGAGATCAATCTCAAATGAATTTACTGCTTTGTGTCCCCATCTCTGTTAGACACCAAGATCATGTCTACACTATGGGGAAGATCGATGGAGCTGTGGTTGATCTTCCAGGGTTCAGTTTAGCAGGCCTAATGAATACCTGCTAATTCAAATTGAGAGGGTACCCCCTTTCAGCACATTTTGTTCCTGTCAATTTCCTGCTGTCTGGATGGTGATTTAAGATACGGCGACTCCAGCTACGTAATTAATATAGCTGGAGTTGTGTATCTTAATTAGACATTCCCCTTTTGCATAGACATGCCCTAGGAGAGCCGGAAGAGAACACAGTATCTAACAAAGAGATGATATAGAATTGCATGCCATTCAGACACTGAAAAATCTGCAACCTATGACATCAAGCTTCACTAGCTGATGTGTACAAAAACAACACTTCGCAAAAGAGCTCACAAGAAGAAAAAGCAATTAATTCAGCACAGTTCACTGAGTCCTCTTACAGCTCATTGTAAGGCCAGCCCACTTACTGGTCTGATCCCACTTATGAGTTCACATATTGTCAAAATAGGGGTAAGTGGGTGGAATTCTATGGTTTGTGTTATACAGATCAGACAAGGTGATCTAGTGTTCCTTTCTAACCTTAAATATTTGTGTCGAAAGGTATCTAAGGTTGTTGATGGATATAGCAAGCAGAAAGGATACCTGTATAGCATTTTAAAGTTTAAACAGTACCTAATATATATTATATTTATTGGATAATTTGATTTGATTCAACTCTAGAAATAATGTCAGGCCAAAATCAGTCATTTAATATGCAATGCCTGCCTGTGAATTCTGTGATAATTCACAGCAGTGGGACTCCTACATCCTGTTACTCATGTAAGTTAATATGTCCTGGAATCAGTAAATCACTAAAACATCATGCTATGTGAAATCTAAGCTGCATAGCTATAAACCATGCAACATTAAAAACTCAAGGTGCAAATATTTATTTCAAATGTTCTTCTCCAAACTATATCTAAAAATCAAGAAAACATGTTTTTAGGACTACAAGCCTTTCTTTTAGTCCCGCTTAATAGTGAATACTTGAGATAATGGTTTTAAACTAGTATAAAGTTAAAAGCGTATTACTTATTATTATGGCTATGTCTATGCTACTAGGTTATTTCACAATAATAATACCCAAAATAACTATTTTGAAATAGCACATCCACACTATAGGGAAGCCTCAAAATTAATCTGAGGCATGCTCCCTTAATGTGGATGTGCTATCTCAACTTAGAGCCCAGGAGACACTGTGGAGTAGTTACTCTGAATGGCTCTGGAAAGTAATTATTTCAATTATAGCAGCTGAGTGTCCACACTAACCCTATTTCGAAATAGTAATTTTGAAATAGGCATTATTCCTTGTAGAATAAGGGGTTATTATTTCAAAATAACAAGCCTGAATGAGGGGTTATTATTTCAAATTAATAAGCTTGCTGTGTGGACGCTCAGCTTGTTATTTTGAAATAACTCTGTAGTGCAGACATGCCCAAAGTGTTCTAATTTATTTCTTGTAAAATAAAAGCACCCAGAGTATCAACAACTAATACATATTAGAATTTGATATGTTAGGAATAGCCAAATTGATTCATTTCTTCTGTGAATCCAGATTTCTAGGGGTATTTTAAATCCCCAGAAGTATGCAAATCTTCACCTGAGTATCACTTGCTGCTGTGCAACTGCATCTGCCACGCTAGGAGTGACCTAACAGAACAATATGAACTAGTATGAGACTCGTCTCTCCCCAAATGTATATGAGCAGAATTTCACTCTGCTTACACATCACACACAAAAAAAACAAAATGTAAAGGCTCAGACACAAACCAAGGGGGGAAAAGTGCTATTAAAATGGAGAAATCAAGTTAATTTTTAGAGATTGCAGTTTTAATCTTCTTAGGCTATCAGACTCTTCACAATTAACCTGGGTAAAGTGCCGGAGATCGACGTTCTGGAACTTGATTTAGTGGGTCTAGTATAGACCTATATACTGAACACTGAGGGCAGCTCCTCACAATCGCCTCCCACTTAAGCTAAGACAACTCCAGCTATGTATTCCAGGTCTAATTTAGACCTGGCCTAAATTGTACCAGCTGCTAGTGATAGCTTTAATCTAGATAAACACATCAGAGGCATTTCAATGATAGCAGTAGGTAGTGGAATGGTTTTTTGAAGCTGCATGTGGTGCAATGGAGGAGGTTCCAATAGCACTTTAGTAACTTTAAGGATTTTACCACAGGAGTAGAGTAACAAATTGAGATGATCCTGAAACTGGTTTTGCTGTCCATTAAAAGAATGGAGAAGAGTCTTGAGGAGTTTGCGCTGCAACTTTTGTACCCATGTTCTTCAATACAATGTGCACAAGATAAGCAGTGTTTGTGACCATCAATAAACTGACATTACATTTTTAATCAGCACTAACATGTTTAAACTTAGTGCTGCAGGTGGCCATCTGCCTGAAAAAGTGGTGTCATGTGGTATCAATTGCAGCATATATTAATTCTTTCGCTGTCTTCGGCACACACTACCTGTATTACAAATTTTCAGGGAGGACCTTGGAGTTGCCTTTGCCCTTCCCACCTTTATCTGAAGAAATCAAACAGAGTGCTGACACTGCCTGCCCTGTTTATTCTTTGCAATTAGATGAGACACACACTGAGTTAAATTCTGCAATAACATTTACTGTTTGTAATCCTTTTCTCTTCAGTGGGAGATGTAAATCAGAGAGAAATGGGGTCCAGTATGTTCTGTATAATCTAATAGAGGATTTTCTAAGTAATTATAGCTAAAATTAATGTTATTGAAGTATGTCTTGACACAAGTAGCTTCAACATAGTCTAACAATGCTGTAAAAAAAAGTAGTGGTTCATATGAAAAAATAACTGTTGGAATAATACCACTTTAATGGTGAACTGAATGAAAATAGATGTTTATAAATCCAATTCCTAAAAGCCATTAGTTTCAACTGCACAGTTCACTTGTAGGCTCCTGGCAATGGATCTCATGCTAGCAAAATAAAAATTCTTCCATTAAGGAGTTAATCTGAAAAAAAAAAAGATTTTCAGCCAGCAAATGAAGACAGTCACAAATTTTTAAGTCAGAAAAGGATTTGTTCAACTCATATGAATTGTATGAGAAGTGTTCTAGTAATCAGGATAAACTTAAAAAACAACAACTGGTCTGGTAGCACTTTATAGACTAACAAAGCATGTGCGTGCTCCGCGGCTTTGCTCTGCTTTGCTCCCCGTCCCCCTGGTCTGCAGACGCGTCTGGGCTGTCCGCTGCCCGCGTGCTCCGCGGCTTTGCTCTGCTTTGCTCCCCGTCCCCCTGGTCTGCAGACGCGTCTGGGCTGTCCGCTGCCTGCGTGCTCCGCCGCTTTGCTCTGCTTTGCTCCCCGGCCCCCTGGTCTGCAGACCAGGGGGACGGGGAGCAAAGCCGCGGAACACGCGGGCAGCGGACAGCCCACTTCAAAGTAGGAATAAGAGATCCTCCGGAAAAGGGCTTTATTCCGAAGGATCGCACCAGTCTAGACGCCTTTTTCTGGCTTTTCCCCAAGCCGGAAAAAAACCGGCGGCCATGTTTATTTAAATCCCTATTCTGAAGTTGGAAATTAACATGCCTCTTCCGGAGAAGGGGCCAATGTAGACGTAGCCATACTGATTTACAAACTCGTGACATATACCAATTCCAGCGACACCATTACCATTAGAACACTAAAAAACCAAACATCAATATATCCAGCACCCAGAACAGCTAACCAAATCATCCAGAGAATATAAACATTGCACAATGTATCTAACACTGACAAAATTGTGAATTCTAACACAATTCCAAAGTATAAAAATACAAGACCAACCTCTTTAAAAATATAGAAGTTAAGTAGAACCATTCCAAAGTTGTAGCTAATCAGCAAGAAGCGCAGTTGGAAGGGTTCTCTTGTCCTCATCCACTTGGGGCCCAGCCAGACAGTGATGAGGTAAAGGGTGCTTATTGTCAGTGTTGGAAATGGAGATTGCATCAAGAACCAGTCATCAACACGTTTGTCTGGGGGGGAATAAAACACATCAAATTAACTAAAAATAATAAAAAAACCAACATGCTTTTTCATTATGTTTAAAGAAAATATATTCACTATAATTTTAGTCATCACATTTTTTAAAGTTAATTTCCTGTAACATCTATCCTACCTGACATATAGATCGGATGGAAAGATATAAGATAAAGTGCTTGTCCTTTCACTGATCATTCATTTTTAAATGAGTAGTTTAGTAACATTACATTTTCAAAACGTTGGAAAAATGCAAATTAGACTACACAATTCAAAAGCCAAGGAATTACTATGTGAGGCAAACTATATTGGTCAGGTCCACAAAAAACAAATGCCTCATTGTCCATCATAAACTGTAGTCACATTATCACAACATTCATTGGCACCAATGTCATTCAGATTCAAGTACAGACACACACAAATAAGGTAAGCCAGACAACTCAAAATTTAATGCATAAAAGAAGCATTAATTAGCTTAACCACAATACGTACAATTTTATGCAGGATCAATTGTTATACTTGTTATGTAGATCAGCATGCTATGTCTCAGACCTACCAGAAATTATACAAGTATTGGAAAACTACTAAATAAATAAGGTTGAAGGACTGGCTTAGTGAGACTACTCTATGAAGCCACAAGTGATACCCAAGTTTTATTTACAGACTCAGTGACTCACTCAAGATAGGGTTACCAACTGTCTAATTACCCTTACACCACTCCTGCCTTATCCTTCCCATATGCTCTGTCCCTGCCCTGTCCTCCAAAGCCCCACTCCTGCTCCATCCCTGCTCTCTCTGTGGTTCACTCTCCCCAACACTCACTCATTGTCATCAGGGTGGAGTGTGGGAGGGGTGGGGAGTGAGTGCTCTAGGCTGGGGCCAAGAGGTGTAAGTGAGTAAGACAGCAGTCTCCAACCTCTTCAAGCACAAAATCACTTTTTAAAGTTAAGTCAATCCAGAGTGTCTCTCAAAATAGGGATGTAATAGTGTAGCCGATTAACCAATACGCGAAAGTTTATAGGTGAATGCTATAGACTACACACATTTCCCCCCTTGCCAGTAAATTTTTTAGCAGGCTGGCCAGCAGCCTGGCTCAGTCCTGGCTTGCAACACGTCTGGAACCTACCTCTGCTATGTCTCTGCATTTAAAGTGTATTAGGAGCTGGGCAGGCAGGCAGCCTGGCTCAGACATGGCTCATGCTGAGTCCAGGATAAGGATGTTAAAGACTAATTGACTATCTGATAAGCAAATGCCTATTGGATAGTCAGTCGACTAGTTGATTCTCCCCCCTTGCTGCCTCTATCAGATAGAACAGTGGTCACCAACCAATAGATCAGGATCTACTGGTAGATCTTGGAGCCTCTAATAGGTGATCCTGACTGGTTTGGCCAAGAGGCTATCAAGGGCTGGCACTTCAGCTACCCCTCCCTGCACTGCTGTGCATCTCCTGCCCTTTGCCTTGGAGCTGCTCCTCCCCCTGGGGAGCCTCCTGATTGCTGTGCAAGGCAGGGTAGGGAGAAGAAAGGGGTGCAGATGTCAAGGTGCCCCCTCCCACTCTGTATCCTTTCTCCACAGAGTAGAAAGGGGCACAACAGGATTTGGGATGGAGTTTGCTGGCTTCTTTAGGGAGTGGCCCAGAGCAGGGGTGAGCCTGCCTTAGCCCCACTGCAACACCACCCAGGAGCCACCTGAGGAAAACAGGGCCAAACTGGATCCCACATCCCGAACTCCTATCCCAGTCATGAACCCCCTCCTGCACCCCAAGTCCCTGTTCTATCCCCGAGCACCCATGCTTCCAAACGCCCTCCCAGAGCCTGCACCTAGACCCCCTCCGGCACCGCAACTGCCTTCCCCAAGCTCAGCTCAGAGCCCCTCTCACGCCCCAAAGCCTTTAATCCAAGACCAGAGCTTGCACCCCAACCCTCTTCCCCAGCCTGATGAAAGTGAGTGAGGATGGCAAGAGAGGGAGGATGGCATGAGCACAGGCGGGGCCTTGGAGAAGAGGCAAGAAGGAGGTGGGACAATGGTTTTAATATTTGGGGTAGATCTTGGATTGCACTTAAATTCAAAAAGTGATCTCATGCTCAAAAAGGTTGGAGACTACTGGGATAGACTCAACAAAGGCGGGGGGAGACGAGGTATTTCAAAGCAGAAGCGCCGCACAGCTGAGCCTGGCATCAGTTGTGCAGTGCTCCCCCTTTGAAACGCTGCCTCGGGTATTTCAAAGGGGCGGTGCTGCACAGCTGAGCCTGGGATCAGCTGTATGCCGGCGTTTTAAGGCGGCAGCGCTGCATAGAGCCCGGGGTCTGCTGGGGATTTCTCTCTGCAGCATTTCTGAGGAACCCGGGATCAGCAGAAACCAGCAGTCAGATGGGCATTTCAAATCTGGGCTCTGCGTGGCATTTCAAATCAGCTGCACAGCATGGAGCCTGGAGTCAGCAGGGGATTCTGAATCCCCCGCTGACCTCATGATCCATGCTGCGCTTCCGCTTTGAAATGCACAAAAGTCCCTGTTGGGGACTCTTGTTCACTTCAAAGCTGGCACACCCATATGCAGCCCGGAGTCAGCAGGACTTCCTGCTGGCCCTGGGCTGCAAGTGAGCCAGGCTGCCCGGTGGGGGGGGGGGGGGCTCTTGTACATTTCAAAGGAGGAATGCAAAAGTGCCTATGAACTAGTCGATGGAAATTCTATCAACTACTCGACTAGTAAAATAACCAATAGTTAACATCCCTAGTCCAGGACCTATGCCTTCTGCAGCTCTGCATTTAAAATGTATTAGGAGCTGGGTGGGCAGGCAGCCCAGCTCAGTTCCAGCTTGCGCCATGTCCCGTGAAGGGAGCTGTTTTTTAAACTGGCACCCCTCGCGAACCAGCTCCTGCCTGGAACCCTGTGCTGCTGCCTCTGATACAAAGGCAGCAGCGCAGAGTGGCAGAGGGCTCCTCCGAAGTGGGAACACTGGCTACTGGCCTTGTCCCCGGGGACTATAGAATAGTCGACTAACCAATAAGAATTTGTGAGGTTACTCGACTATTAAATTAACCAATATTAACCATCAATAACAAACCCAAATATCCTTTCCCTGTCTTCTTCCCCATCTTTCTCCGAGGCCCTGCCCCTGCCCCATCTCTCCTCTGAGGCCTCACCCTCCTCACTCTGGGGAGCTGAGGTACAGGAGTGGAGGGAAGTAGACACCCTAACATCTCAGCATCCTCCTCCTCAGTCTCCTCCACCCTGCAGAGCAAGCAAGAGGCAAACAGGAGGCAGCTCCAAGGCAGAGGGCAGGAGCAGCAAAGCAGTGTGGGAAAGGGCAGCTGACGTGCTGGCACTTGACAACCTCCTGGCCAAAGTAGTCAGGATCACCTGTCAGAGGCCCCGGGATCTACTACTAGATCCTGATCTACTGGTTGGTGACCACTGGCATAGGAGGAGGCTGTGGGCTGAGCCATGGGGTTATGGTGCAGGAAGGGGGTGTTGGTTCTGGAAGGGAGTTTGGGTATGAGAAGGGGTTCAGGAGTGGCAAGGATTTGGGATGTAGGAGGGGGTCAAAATGCAGAAGGGGATCCAGGTCATGGTCTCTGGGAGGAGTTTCAGGACTGGAGCAGGAGGTGGGATGCAGAAGGGGGTCAGATGAAGGCTCCAGCTGTGTGGCACTCACCCCAGGTAGCTGACTCCCAGTTGGTGGAGCAGCAGGGCTAAGGTTCCCTGCCTGTCGTGACCCCACATTGCTCATGGGAGTAGCTAAAACGTCTATATATTGAGGGGGCAATGGCTCCTCATGCTGCCCCCCACCCCTGCAGCCCCCACATAAGGGCCACAGAGAGGGATGTGCCTGCTGGTTCCAGGAATGGCACGGAGCCAGGGCAGGCAGAGAGCCTGCTTTACCATGTTGCAGCACCTTACTTTCAGATGTCAATATCCTGGTTTGGCTTCAGGAATCTTCAGAGGTCGAGCCTGATTCCTGGAGACTCCCGGCAAAACCAGGAGGGTTGGCAAACCTAACTTAAGAGCACCACTCTAGAGATCTGAAGTTGTATTTAAGGACACAGATTTCAACATACTAAGTGTTGGGCCAGTGTTCCCTGTACACTGTGTACTCAGACAGCCACTCAGGAGAGAATCAAATGCCACCCAGCTGATTAGCAGAACTTCCACAGCTAGGTTGTTTGTTTCTACTGGTGATACACATTCACATTCCTTGGTGCATATACAAATTTATTCTGCACATGGATGGAAAAGTTTAGAGGGAACATCGGTCCTGGTTAATGTAAAGAAAGCATTGTTTGTCTGAGGACTACTGTCATCTTCAAGATACAGTAATTAAAGCACGGCACCACTTTGAAAAAATAACTGCAAAAACAGCGTCAGTTTAATCAGATCTGATTTTTATCTGTACTCCGAGTTGTGGCTATTTAGTTTACATACAAAAAGTAACTTTTCCACTATCATCACACAGCTGCATGAAAGTGAGCGTGATTGCTTCCTGACTCATACACTATCAGTGATACTGTTAACTAAATTCCAATTCAAGGGCAATATGTACAGTAGCGTTGTATTAAAATTTTGCCCTGAGTTACATTTGTGCAACCTCACTGAAAGAAATACAGTTACACATATGTAATTAAGAGTAAAATCTTTATTATTGGTCATGGTGCTTAACCTTTACTAAATCCATAACTTATTGATCCCAAGTTATGTTGCAAGGCTGTCCAAAAACCCCTCCTTTTGTTTGTAATTTGTGTACCTCTGATATAGAGTCAATGAGAGAAATATAAAACATGACATTTCCATTTGTATCAATTGGAACCACATTTTAGGGTCAGATAGCTGAACATTTAACAAGTTCTGCATAGTAGAATTTCCTGGATTGTGGCCTGCAGAAAGAATAAATCACATGGTGCTGTTGCTTCCTCCCCAGCTTTCAACCACTTTTACAAATGTCCAAGCCCTTTGCAATGAAGTGGCTGAAGGAGGAAGAGAAACCAAGCTAACTACTT